CGTTGGATTGTTATCAGACAATTTACAATATGGTGGGACAGGTAACTTAATTAAATTTTACATTCATTAGCTAGTTTAATATTGTAGCCCGCTTAAGATCTTCGCAAGAATGGACCGGTTAGCTCACCGCAATACCACGACCACACAGAAAAATGGCGTGAAGTGAAAGCAATTCCACGTTTAATTTGATAAGTGCGTACCGGTGACATAATTTTAGTCCCTTCCCCTTTCCAGTCTTTTCTTATAAGAAAAGTATTTAAAGCGAAAGTGGTTTTATTAAAGCGAACATACATTGCAAGAGAAAATATCTTTTTTATGTGTAGACATGGTAGATTGAGGGTAGGCAAGGTATCTGCAACTACAGATGTCTATGGGCAATGATGGCTTCGTTGTTTCAGCGGATTTAGATGGCCGGTTGCTCGTTTGGCACCCAATGGTATAAAATTAGAACTCACAATCTCCATCTGCATATAGTCCTGTGTGTTGGAGGACTCTATCCTGAGGAGCACGGCATCAGGCTTGCTGGTGAGGAAGCCGAGCGCGACGCGGTCCGCCTCCGTGTCGGCGCGCGCGTGCGGCGCCAGCGAGTGAGTCAATGCGCCGCGCCCAGGACCGAATTCGTATGCTATCGACTCTGTAACATCATAGTAGAAGGTATAGGGAAAGAATTACTTTAAGATCAAGTGTGTACGGAAGCCTAATTTTAGTCTACTTCCTTTCCATCCTTTTCTTAAGAGAGGATGGGAAGGAAAAGGGGATTTGACGGCGGAGGAGACGCATATGAAGGAAAACATCTTGTTTATGTACGTCCCCTCTTTCATTGACTAAGGGTAGTAAACGCATCTACATTTGCGGATGTCTATGGGCAGCGATCGCATCGCTTTCTCGGCGAATTTAGGTGGCTGCTCACTACTTGCCACCTTAGATTATAAAAAAAATGTATTTTGGTGACGACGAAGGAATTAAATGTCATAGTTCTCATATCTAAACTAAATAATGGTGATTTCTTACAAGGTGATGGAAATCAGCGGTTAGAATATTAGCCAGCGATAATATCAATTTATTACACGTTAGAAGTATTCTTGTTTTCTTTCCAATTGGGAATATAATTAAAACTTCATACCATCATAACACGTAGGGCCGGTGAATGACGTGAGATCGCAGTCGCACACGTAAGTATTCCATTGCTGCACGCACACACCTTTGTTAGCACACGCATTGTGTGTGCATTTTGTTGGACCTGAAGCATAGATAACTCAAATTATGTTTTTGAAGTCTTGCTTAAGCCAGATTGATATCTATAGATGCCGCAAACATAGAAGTATTCCTTTCTCATGCTTTATGTTAAGAGTATGATAAGATGACGATGGACGACACAACAGACTACTAGGGTCCATCTAACACCATCTCGATGGCTAGAGTTTCACAACCGTGCGGTTGTTGCGGAACTTTCTGTCGTGTTATGTATCTTTCTATCCTCGGTGGTATTTCCAAACCAGTACTACTTAGGGTCCTTCAAGAATCGAGGCTACTATTTCCCGTCGCTCATTTGCGTCTTGTATTACAAAAAAGACAGAAGAGAAGATATATTGTGAACGTACCCTCACATCCCGACACAAGCGAGGAACTGGGCACAACCGCGTCTTCTATAAGCGAGGGCGACTCCCCGGGCAGGTCGAGGCTGGCCACGCAGCCCTCGAAGCCCTGCCGCGACAGCACGCCCACCGGCAGCGCGCCGAACTGCTCCTTGGGCACGCCGCCCACGTACAGCACGCTGTCCAGCTCCAGCATCAGCGTCGAACCTGCAAGTATTGATGTACTGGTTAATGCCTTACGATCGATGATGATGATATAGCCAAGGTTTCATTTATTTATTTATTTTATTTCAACAAAATAATTATGTTGACACAACTTAGTACCATCATACATAAAATTGTATAATATTGGCACTACAAAGTTCAATAAAGGGTCGTGAATTACCCACCGACATTGTAGCCCTTTAACGATAAAAGAACCTTTTAAATCTGCCCACCAGTATATCATCTAGGTTTGAATGGATTTAAGTGAGTAAGGATCAGCCTTACTATTAACGATTGGCATCTAAATAGGATTTATATTTTTTATATTAGTTAATCTACTTAAGTGTAGTCACTTGTGATTTTAATTTACAAAACATGTAATTAACACTTACTTGTAGTATGCAATTCCAAGTCATCGTCAACTTGTAATGTGTGTACTTTTGGTGTCGGTCTGCGAATCGATACCGTGTGCCATCGATTGTCGTTTAAAAAGTTCTTTAGTTTGTCTTTCATCGTGACCACTCCGTCGCCCAAATTGAATACGCAGTGTATATGCCCATTGACTAGTTCCACAGCTATAAAATCTTGTTTCTTCCCTCCATTGTAAAATAATAGACCATCCATCTCAGTGGTCCGAAAGTAAAAGTCCAAATAAGTATTCCCGTATGCCTTTAGTAACGGCAGGCCAACGTAAGTATGCTTAGATTTGAAAGTCACAGCCTTATAAACATTTAGAGAGTCCGGCTTCACAAATTTTCCATTAAAAATTATATTGGACGTATCATAAACGTTGTTGTTTTCATCTGTGTTTCCGATTCCTAGAGTTTTAGCCATGTCTATGTATTTAATTCCATTGAAAACGAATTTTTGTAAGAAACCGACAAAATTTGGCAAAGTCGAGGTCATTTGTATTTCTTCTTCAGGATGAAATAGTCCTCCCAAATGAAGAGTGGAGATTTCTAAAGTCGAAGCTTTACCTAGAATCGTTTCAGCTGCAACACAAATCAAAGTAAATGATAGGATTGTTCTCTTACAATTAGAAACATTTAAACACAACATTGACATGAACATAAAATATATTAGCAAAGAAAATCTTTGACAATCTTTATTAGCAACATTTCATTCAATTATTTACATTAAAATGTCAGCGAGGAAGTAACAAACAAGACAGCTAAGCTTGAAGGACAGTTAGCTAGATTTTTAGTTAGAAGTTAATTCCAATGCAATTTTATTATGCAACATCCAACAGCCAATCACACAGATTGTAGAGTCAATGTAGGTGTTTCCACTCGGTTTTTTACATCAATTGTGTTTGTTTTCAGCATTAGCAGCTAATTTGTCGAAGTAAATGTTAGTACACATTTTGTTTAGTATTGGTCAGAAGTACAAAGGAAGGGATATATTTTAGTTACATTTACTACAAACGAGCAATGGAAACTCCGAGGTTATAACGGCCATAGATATCAGCATTACTAGAAGTAATATTGATGCGATGCGTTTAACAAATACTCAAGATGTATTTTCCGAGTCATATTCCCTTCCTTTGACGTTATATAGATTTATAATCTGTAATAAACTATGTATCTTTTTTTTATAACATAAGGTGGCAAACGAGCAAGCGGCCACTAGAATCCGCCAAAGTGACGAAGCGACCGCTGCCCATAGACATCCGCAATTGCAGATGCGTTGCCTACCCTTATACGACGGAGGAGACGCACATAAAGAGGATATTTCCCCTTCTTATGCATATCCGCCGTCTAATCCACTTCCCCTTTCCAACCTTTCCTCATAAGAAAAGGGCGGTAAAGAGAAAGGGACTTAAATTAGACCTCCGGCACCACACTCATCAGACGAAACACGGAATTGCTTCCATTTGACGCCTGTCTTCTGTGTGGTCGTGGTATTACTGGGGGCGTGCCGGCCCTGCACTGCTAAGATGTTAAAGCGGGCACTACCACTTTTCAGATAACGTATGTAAACAGATTATAAAACTATGAAATACAAGTTACAGCACATTGACAGGAGTCTACAAAGAAAAATAAAGAAAGGAAGAAAGAAAAGCGATACTACAAATGAAAGGTGAAGTAACAAAGTGCCAGCTAGAAAACAACAAAAAAAAAGCCACTAACAAATAGGACTAACACAAACTAGATTATTATACATCTTTTTAACTAAATTACTAGTACTTAATATTACAATTGGTTTTGCTTTGGATTCTTTGAGATGCATTAGTATGTATTAGTAAGAGTTATGAAGTTAGAATATATTAAAAGGTGTTGTTTTAGTATATTTAATAAATAATAAATAATAAATAAATAAATTCATTTAAATACTAGCTTTCGCCCGCGACTCCGTTGGTGTCGTCGTGTCGTCGATTTTTAAAAAAAACAAAAGTGAGTAGCCTATGTGTTCTTCCAGACTATCTTCTACATCTCCATCCATCCATCCTACCATCCATCCATCTAAACTTTGGCATTTATAATATTATTATGAAGTATGATTGACTTTATTATATTTCCTTTTTGTGAAAGGAGATCGTTTTGTAATTATTTCGTAAAATACGAATCAAAGGTTACAGCACTATTTATACTAATATTGTAAAGAGAAAAGATTTATATTTTTGTATGAATTGAAATATCTCAAAAACTACTAGGCCGATTTTAATAATTCCGGCACCATTAAAAACCTACATTACCAGCGAGTAACATAGATTTAAGTTCCACGCAAAGTCACGAGCAAAAGCTAGTAAATCATATTCATGTAATGCTTTTTTTCTATTTCGGTTGTATTTGTTTTGTCGAGATTTGTAGTGATACCATAAACAGGAGATTCCAAAGCGCCACCAAAACCAACCTTAAGTCCGTCTAAATAAGGTATAAAATAAATAGTGCGGGTGCGGTCCCGTGCATACGTACATAACGTACCGCGCACGGCGGGGCCCGCGTCCACCTGCAGCTTCAGGTTGGACGCGCGCCGCGAGAACCGCACCGTGTGCCACGCCTCGTCCGCCACGTTGGACCCCGCCAGCAGGTTCTGCAATAATAAACCTTTCAGTCAAAAACCACATCTACTTACAAACAAAATACACTAAATAGTAATGAAATAATTCCTTGATTTACTCAAACCTCACTTGTACAATTATTACTTTGATGTCGAGGTCATTTCCTCCTTCCTTTGGGAAATCGGTTAGAAATACGGTCAACTTCAGTGAAAAACAAAAACATATAAGAAATATGTAAACTAAACATAGGGAACAAAACTTTTTCAGCGGTACTTTCTTTGAAAGATACTTTAACAATCATACTTTATTAATATTATAAATGCAAAAATTTAGAATGTTTGTTAGACTTTGTGGCTTAAACATCTGAACAGATTTCGATATAATTTGGTATAGATATAGAGGATAGTCTGGAAAAACACATAGGCGACTATTGTTTTAATTTCAAGTGGAGACGTTGGTGAAATTTAATGAATTATACCTTTTCCCTGTCCCC